TAAATAAACGTATACAGACTCTACCAAGTACACCCATCTTTTATCCTTCGCCAACTGGAACTTTAACAAGACTTTATCATGTCCCACGTGTCATTATTGTCCGCCTATCTTACTCTTATAAAACACATTAAAAAAAAACCAAAGAACAAAAAAACAAACCCAAAACTCAAAGCACATTTAAAAGTCAAATTTCTTTTTATTTCAATTTTCCAGTGTAGTTGTGGAGGAGAGGATGTGGATTTCTTAAATACAACTGATGAAAAGAATAATCAAGCTCAGTGGATACATCACTTTATCTTCGAATATATCTTGAAGTATATAACATCTCTGATGTCCAATGTTGTATATCAAACCAAAATCTTCAAACCATTAGTATCATTTTAGGAGACATTGTTGTTTAATGTATCTATGCAGAATGCTGCATACAGTCTGGGTGCTCTAGATCAAGAATGCTACATCTTCCAAAAAGGTGGGATGGCCATAACATATTTGATAAATTGTTGATTCAGATTTGGTGTTTTCGGAACTTCTGCTGTGTGCTGGCTTTGGGAGTGCTGAGCCAATCTTAATAATATATGGTATATATATTATTATTATTATTTTTTTTTTTTTTAATATTATTTATTTATTTATTTATTATTTTTTAAATTGGACGACAGTATGACACCCACTACCTTATTGCTATAACAACTTTGTATTTCTTAGTGTATCTCCACTCAGAAAAATATCTTCCATTTATAGTATAACTGCAAAGGTATTCTCTGTTCTTGACAAGTTCACCGTCTTCAAGACTACCTGGAAGAATTTTATCCAAGACACATGAACTGATTGTCATATCACCATGTTTTAAACGTGAAATTCACTTGTCAGTACATGTCGCACTAGAAGACCAGCATCTCAGACCAAATCAACTGGGTGCTACAGCTGATCAGACTCCACAGACAACACCAGTCATTTTACCTAGCACATAAACGTAACACACTTCGAACTGGACATAAACAAAATAAAACTCACCAAAACCATCTTTGTTAGTCTTTCAACAGCCTTTACAACTATCACCAACACTGGTTTGGTTAGAAGAGAAAACAGTCTGCAATCGGTGCCATGTAACGTTAGCTAATCCTTGGGGACAAATACGCTTGTCAAAGTGCGTCCCCTAAACCCTTTTGCCACTGACAGGCTCAGATTGTTATTCTCAGTGTCTGACAGCATTATGGAAAGGATCCCTGCAGAGATAGACCTTTTGTTTAACCAGAAACAGCCATAACTCACCACCAGACTCCATTGACAAAAAATTGTCATTTTAACACTATTATTTACTTGACCCCAAGTGTTTGTGTTACCTCTGTCAAGAGATCCTGCTGTGTCCTTCCTTCGGTCTTCTCCACTGGGGTCATCCACGGAATCATAGAGAGAAACTGAGATAAAAGTATACATACCTAGTTAGCTAGAAGTCCATGTGAACTAGCAGTAAAGACCTGTTTGATCCAAAACTAATGAGACATTTGAATGAGCTTTGAACAGATACACACTGTTAATGGTGAGGTCATTATTAGTATTATTAACATGATTTCCTCTGTAGTGCTTTATTATGTAATGGTTTGTCTTTGACTGAAAGATTGTATTCCTCCCAATACTCACCCATGACCTCAATAAAATATCATCTCTTTCTCTCTTACCTTTAGCAAGAATTGGAGACATTTTAGACTTCTGAAAGACAGACAACAGCATAAATTATTGAATCATGTAGTCAGATTTCAGTATAAACAGAGAAAAAGCTTAGATCATGAAGCCTCAGTAACATGATTACAAATTTTAGTGACTGTGGTCTGAGGGCAAATTTGAGCTGGAAGCAAAGCAAACTAAGCTGATAACCTCTTCAGTTCAGGAGGCAGAACGGCAGCTCTATTGGTGGAATTCTCTGAGGATTGGTAACTAACCACTAGCAGTGATACAGTGTTTCCTACACATATTTCACTGTAACCACAGTGGCTTTGCACAGGATCCTGCTAATCTGCCTCAAGTACACAGACAGTGTTTTTCATGGGGTTTGGCTCTCAGTCCGTAGTGTGAAGCATACTGATGATACTCAGTCAATGTTAACCACAGGTTTTTTTATTACGGGTCATTAACCCTGTAAAGCCAAGTGTATCATATTTGATACATGAGTTTTTGAGACCTCTACATCATCAGTGTGATTTTTTTTCCTGAAAAACCTGATGTATACAATCAGATACATGCAGTACCTGGATAATCCACTAGGGATCAGTAATTTATGCACCACAGGGCCCTCACTTGAGACACTCCAAAATGGCCGTCAATCAGTGACCCACATGTAATTTTTTAAGAATATTTTTGTCAATTTTGAAAAAGTTAAGGTAAGAAAAACTTTCAAATTGTTACTGAAACTTCAATAGGCATATTTAATGGATTGATGTAATGTATGTATGTAATGTCAATAAAACAACATACAGTCTTTTCCTCATTGAGGTAAACTAATTAAAGGTTTAACTGACATAATTAGGTATATTATATTTAGAGTAAAACTCAGACATCGCTGGCTCGTTTTTTGGGCTGATTTTTATTTTGCTAATTAAACTGTCTGCCTCTGAAGAATGAGACCTGCTGTTAACCCTAACCCTAAGATGAGTTAAGACAATTAAGCAAGTTTAATTGTGTAAAAGAAAGAAACTTAAATTGAGATGGTTGTATTTTTCTGCTTAATGACAAAAATAGGTGTTTGGTGTGATGGCTCCATGTTGTAAAATTAGCATACATCGCCATAACCATAGCTCCAACATATATTTTATGGCTGTGGTATTGTGGTATTTTATGGCTGTTGTGCCTTTACACAGTGTCGTGTTTGAGTTATTCCTCAGCAACTTCAACCACATGGATTTGTTTTTTGATTGGATTTGTTTGGCTTTGATGTTGTCACAATTGTGGTGTTTATGCCAGGATATATCCCTCATCAGCTATTCTCTTTATACTATCTTCTAGCTTCCTCTGCAATACAGTTAACTAGGTGGAAAACATATTCTTCAGTTGATACCTTGATCCTCCTTTGGTAGCTAGCTCACTAGAACTGACAGATTACCAGTATATATATATTTATCTCGAATGCACCAGATAATACATTATGCGCATTATCGTTTGATCTACATATAAAGGAGGTGAGCCAGAGTTGCTTTTTTCCATCTTAGAAACATCTCCAAGATCAGATCAATTCTGTCGTTTAAGGACTCTGAGGTCCTCATTCATGCCTTTGTGTCATCTAGGCTAGATTTATTGTAATGTCTCTTCTGTCGGGTCTGCCAAAGAAAAGTCTTCGGAGTCTGCAGATGGTTCAGAATGCTGCAGCTCGTGTTCTGACTGGAACCTCCAGATATGAACATATTACACACAGTGCTATCCTCTCTACATTGGCCCCCTGTTTCATGCCAGAGCAGACTTTAAGGGGTTGCTGCTAACCTATAAAATATTAAATGGGCAGTTTATTTTGTTTTAGTTATTTGAAATGTTTTTAAACTGTATTTTCCTATGCTCTGTACAGCACTTTGAACTGAAAGCGCTTTACAAATAAATTTATTATTATAAATTTATTATTATTATTATGCACACAGAGAGTAAGTAAGTGGATCTTGAGTTGAAATGATTTAATCACTTATCAAAGAACACTTTCTGAGTTTAATCATCATAGATTCCAACTACAAACCTCGTCCAGTGGCTCTTTACTATTCTCCTCTTCCTCAAAATCCTCACTGTAGTGTGGAGAGCCTGTAAAAACTGACAAAAGACCTGGTTGAGACACACAGAGACAGAGAAAGAGAAGATTTGCTGAGGGTTCATTACTCTTACCTGGAGACTCTCTGACGGTCTCTGTGACCCTGGCCTTCCTTTGATCATCATCACTCTGCTCCACTGCTGCCTCAGCTTTCCTGCAGGGAGGATATCCATCCTTATGCATCACAGTCACAACTGTGATCCTAAAGGGCAGAGCCAGCAGCAAAGCCTGACCCTGGTCACCATTGGACTTCCAATAGAATAACTTTACTACAACAAAGTTAGACTGAAAAGTAGAAATGCTGTGGCTTTCCAAAGAGAGGTGGAATGGCAGCCATTGAGGAGCCTGCTGGTTATATACTATGGTTTCATTTTCATTTCTCTGATATTTACTGCCTGCACAAAAAACTGAAACATATTAAACTCATGATCTTGGTTCATGCCTAAAAGCATATAAATCAGAAAAGATATGGATTCTGAAGCATTATATTTTTAATTATTATTATATTTAATTTTTATATAAATATTGTCATATTCTGGTCAACAATTCAAATTACACCTATATCTGCTTTATTTGAGCTAACTGGGAGTTACTGCTCATGAAAACCCATCATTTCCTGATTTTAACTAACAAAACAACTGGGGACTTTTATTCAGAAGAGTTTATAGGGAATTAAATGTGTTTATCACTGAGCTTAGTTAATAAATACAAGTCTACATACTGCAGATAGGAAGGTGGCCGTGTTCAATTACCGTGTTCAATTACGCTTTAGAACATAACGCTGGTCCCTCTCTTCTCGCTGGGTTGATGCGAGTCAAACAAAGTCAAATCAAGTCGGTGTACATGTATGGGAAAGGGCTATAAGTGTTCTGTGGGTGCAATATTAGAGTTTGGCAGTTTATACCTGAGGTTAGTACCGAGGGTGGAACTTGTTGAGTCCAGCTCCCTGTTCAGCTTGGAGTAATCTATAGTTGACAAAGCCCCTGCCTCTAATTGGGCAAAGAACCTGGCTTTCTCCTCTGCTTCCTCCAGAGTGTCCAAGCCAATGTGGGTCGTATTCGCAGCCGGTACCATCACTGACTCTGCATACACACGTAAAGAGAGCATACGTGGAAAGCACAAATTTTAAACTTCAAAACTATAAAAAAGCAAAAAATCGGCGTTATAAAGTATTGCTCAGAACAGAAGGACTGAAACACTAAAGGCTGCTTCAAATGACTTGCTATTTCAATACCTGACAACATTAAAAAGCTAATTTGCAATAGCTGAACACATTTGAACTGGAAAAATGGAGCTTAGTATTTTCTTGGAAACCGTGGGAAAAACCTAGACAACTTAGATGTCCCATTTTGTCAGACAACACGAGCCACAAACTAGTTCATACAAAGGAAGCACAAGCTTTCACATCAGCAAGTTGCAGTCGAGCTGAACCGAGGCATATTTCTATTAACTGTGAGTAAAATACAAGATATCTATGCTCCTTATCGTTCCAGAACTTGCCTGAGAATTATCACATTTTTAAGTTTTCTTCAGTATCCAAGTAATCCAGTGATAGTTCATCCATGGGTATATTGCAAATAGGAACTGCTCATAGCTAATTTGGCATACTTTTAATGGAGCCAATTTGCCAAAATATCAACAAATATAAGCTTTAAAAAATGGGTTTAAGTCAATTCATGGCAACACTTTATGTTTATATCCCCCCAAAGCCCCAAGTAATTCCAAAACTTGGAAAAAAACATTCCCCTAAACAGAAGTAAGACGATTAGCCCTTGGTCCACAGTGTCAAACCCCTCCTAACCCCTTTGAAAACCCCTCCTATAGACAACCAGTGTTGAATTAATTGCACTGCAAGTGTAGAAGTGTAATCCAACAAACTAGCTAGTCAATATGTGCTTTTAATGAAAAGTATCTTGGCCCCATGTGTCAGTCATACCCTGTCCAAGACTCACCCTCTATCTCAGTACTGTCTCTAAAAGCAGCTCCCTCCAGCCCTTCTCCCCTCAAACCAGTGTCCCCTGGATCCTCCTCCTCCTCCCGAATAGACTGAGATTTCCTCAAAGACTTCCTGAAAGTCTTTCCAGGTCCCAGCAGTCCTGGACATTTTTTTAGAGAAAAGAGACACGTTATTCAGTCATTAGTTGAATCATCTTACGTTCGAACAACTGTAAAAAGATTATCTATTGATAATATTTACAGGATTTATGTTAGTGTGTTTATTCTTCCTAAACTGCCATTCAACATCAAGAACTGACACTAATAATACAGTACAGGTTGTACATGAGGACAAATCTGATATATAACAACAAACTGTGGACACAAAGACACCTCACACAATCACAACTAAATATTCACAATACTATTGTTTCTAAAAGATATACACGTACGTGTGTGTGTGTGTGTGTGTGTTTGTTTCTATTGTATATAGAATTGGTAACTGGTCAGCTGCAGGTGGGTACTGATTGTGGTTACCAGATGATGGGTCCTGGATGAATGTATCTATATAACCAAAAACTGTGTGTGAATCATTACTGAGGACATTTTCTCAGAATATGTGTCTGCATCCACTTTTACATTCTGTTCATCTGTCTATCTGTCAATCTGTCAGTGCAGGTATAACTTACTGAGACTTTTAGTTGTTTTAGTCCTTAATAAAGAACTTTATTTAAACTTTATTCACGCATCCTCATTTATATTAAGATGGACAAGAAACTCTTATAGCAGTAATTCCCAAGCAGGTGTGCATGCACCCCAGGGGGTACTTATGTAGTTGCCAGGGGATACGTGAAAAGATTGTGAAGTAAGTCAACTAATATAAAAACTATAGAAATTCCAATTTTTTAATTAAAGAAATATGTATTAACATACTGAGTCAGCTGTAACACTGGGTCAAACAGAGCCAGAGTGCTGCTATTGTGTATGTGGCTAATTAGTATTTAACCTACTATCTCATGACCAAATGGCTGCTGTGAAAAAGGCTGATCGAGAGTGCATGACAACTTGTTAGTAAGCAAGCAAAGGATACTGCATAGCTGGATAAAAGTAATGAATAAACGGTCAAAATAACAAAAAGTAACAAATAAACTGTCAAAAATGTTAGTCAGAAAGGGTATAAATGATTGTAAAAAAAACTAAAAATCGGTAGATGGTCGAAATGCCTAAAAGTAACAGATAAATTGTTGAAATAACCAGTAATGGATAAAGTGCTAAAAAAGTTAGCAAACCAAAACAGAAGACAGTTGTACTGTATGTAAATGTAATAATATCCACTTTTGTATCGTCAATAGTGTTACATAATGTCTAGTTTTAAATCAGTTCAAATGAACACATTTGGAATATGACTGGTAGTGTTGATGAAGGGGTATTTGAGTTCATCTAACAGGACTGTGGGGGTAGGTCTGAAATAAAGGTTGGGGACCTCTGTCTGCACTTCTACTCATGGTCCCATATTGCCACCCAGTGTATTTTGGTATATATGCATCATTCCACTGTGTTTTTGAATAAGTAATCTTTTGTGATTTCTGTTTTACCGGCTAACATGTTGGTGTGTCAGGTTAAAGATGCTCTGAAAAATGTCTCACACACACACACACAATGCCACCACTACTTGCCTGGCTGTTTTTTAGGTGCATCCCTGCCATTTCATGAATAATCAATCTCCAAAGTAAAATCATGCAAATTTAGTTTCAAAGGAAATTAAATGGAATGATGAGTTTATGAGAATTTGCTTTCAAGTATTAAGTATTCCTTAAGTATTAAGGAAAAAACCTTCGGACTATCAGCATCCGCTATGCAATAGAGAATAATATCTAATATACCAGTAAGCAAACATACAAGAGTCTCCAGGTCTATGTGGCAGGCAGGAAAAGTACAACTTAAACACACAAAATAAAAACAAACAACTGGATAAGAGACAATAACAAAAACTAGTGGTGCTAGTGATGTCTATCAGTCTACTGCTGAGGGACTAATGCAACACCACCGAAGGGTTTGGGGGTCTGAGTTGAAGTTACCATCTTCACTGTCCCCCTGGGAACAACTGTCAGTGCTGGCCGGTTGAGTATCATTAGAGTGTGTCGCATCAGTGCTCGACACACACTGGAGGTTTTCATGAGTGGGACTGCTCAGACTGTCACAACACAGGTCGTCAGATGGAGTGGAATTTTGAGGAACCTCCAAAACTGTATCTTTGGGGGTCTTGTCCAACTGAAGCGGTTTATCCAGAGCTTTGCTGCGAGGTTTGGGGACCGGCTTGTAAACAGGTTCCGCACAAATAACTTGAGACAGCAAGAAGAAGAAATAATATTGATGCACTGTTCAGCTAAATATGGAGTAGCTATTTGAATGTGACATCTAAACTACACAAGGCTTTGTTTCCATTGAGATATACACACATGGCAGACAGAATAAAGCTTGGCTTTATTTTACGTTCACAAATATCACAAATGGATCCCTAACGCAGGGTTGTGCGGAGATGTAGTTCTGTTTATTAGAGTTCTAGAATGTAACGGCAGTGAAAGAGTCATAAAATAACGTTTTATTTCTCTGACTCACTGCTCTGTTTTCAGTAATGCCACTTCCTTTTTTATTTATTTTAGAAATTGTAGGCTTTGGTCAAAAACTGTAAAAAGAATAATAATATGCTGATTTAAGTCATGAGTATAGCTCATCAGAGAGCAGGAGGGGACTAATCACTGGTTCTGAGACTCAGAGTAACCGTAATCTTTACAGAAACAACCTGGAAACGCTGTGGATGCATGTTTTAAACCTGAACTAGCTTAATGTGGACGTAGTCTAAAAGCCTTCTGCACTCTCTGTAGTGGCACTTTTTCTCACCATCATCGTTCTCAGGCTGAGATTTTTTGGCTTTGATAAATCTGCTTTTGGCCGTCTTTGCTGGGGAAAGAGGAAAAACAAAAACAAAACAAGTGACAGTCTTTCAGATAAGGAGATAATGAACTGACAAACACAGAGCTGTGAATGTGGACCCAGTTTTCTGTAGATTTGCACATTTTTGTAGTAAATTTGATGTGTCATGGTGAGACAGATTTTTGTTTACTGGATGTTACTACATTACTAAAGGGCAATACAGGGCAACACACTTTTTATTGACACCTTTAACTCTAACCTTTTTACGCAGTTTAAAACAAAACAGAGGTTTTTATGTAGGCAATGAGTATACACTGATTCATTTCCCAGGACGCATGGGAACCTTGACAGTTCCCAAAGACTAATTACTGATCTAAATGAGGCTAAGGTTGGTCTTTAAGCCAGCTAATCTAAATGTAAAAGACTAACTTTAGTCGAATAACAATTTAACGCATGCTCTGCACATCAGCATGCTGTGAGTGTGTTTTTTCACTGCTGTACATATCGCCATAGTATGCAATTGAAAGATGTGCAACATCAGCATTGTAAGTAAACAGCTCAAAAAAAGAAAAATTCAGTGAAAGAAAGAAAAGAAATATCCAGCGAACCAGGCAGACAGGATAGTGTTATAAGAGGAGCAGAAAGAAATCAAACAGAGAAACAGCATTTTGAAAACATTAGGCATGTTAGAAATGTATAATGAGGACAGACATAGGTAAAGGAAACATCAGTCATCAGTGTAAAGTAGAAAAATACCAGTTAGGGTGGGAGGGCTACTTTGATTTGATATGTAGCACGGAGAGGTGCTATTATAAAATCAAAAAGTATGCTTAAGATTTTAAAGCTGCAGTAGGCAACTTTTATGAAAAATAACGTTGTGTCATATTTGCTGACAGTTTTACATGGGTGCATTTCATGTCTCCTAACTGCATCCACATTTCCCTCACTTGCGTCTATACATGCATTCCTGGTGGGAGGAACTAAGATACAAAAGAAGGAGAGAAGTAAGGAAGAAATATGTTTTTAGAGAATTGAGATGTCCTTAGCGACAGCTAATAATAAAGACACACTGTTACCAGTGCCAGAGGAGCAGCCTGTTTAACCCTTACAAACTGTTCATATCCAATGCCTTCACAAATTCGACCCGGTCCAAGAAAGTCCTCATAAAAAGTGTTCATACCATATTTTGAACTACAGATCGAATATGTAAATAGCCTGTCTTACGTTAATAAATTCATTATTAATCCTTAATATGTATGATTTTAGATGGCATGAGACTGTATTTTTTAGGTTCTAGACCACTCGTTTTTGGTGAAAAAACAGCTATATCACACTATATCATGTCCTGTTTTACCTAAGACATGAAAACATAAAAGCCATAATGATTTAAATATATTTTATTAATAGTGAAAATGGCAAGAACATTCTGGAACTGTTATAATATAACCACATAACTATCGCAACCATTGGA